TTTATGCTAGCTATCATATTTAGTAAATTTTGTACTAATTCATACTCTTGCCTACATTCTTATCAAATGTAGGGTCCGGCAATATTGACTTTCATCCCCATGGCTAGGATCTTAGTAGAAACGAGGATTGAAGTTTTGGTGAGTACTCATAGCATTCGAGGATTGTACCACCATGTTCTTATGTCTTTCATTTTATATTTAGAACTATTGTATGGGTTGCGTCCCAAAAATATTCATGTTTTAGATGGTTTGAGACAAGTGTAATAGACTTCCGGTTCGTTTTATAAAAGACTTTGATGTTATGGAAAATGTTTTAATTTTCGCTCATTTCTATTACTTTATGTTATGATATGCTAAGGGGATTGTATGAGGCCTTTCGGGGTCTTGTACGCCTTGTTACATCTAGGGGGTACCCCTGGGTCATGACAAACTTGGTATCAGAGCACAAGGTTTAGAATGATTCTAATATGTCTCAAAACCACGTCTAGTAGAGTCTTGTTCATAAGTGTGAAGCGCGCCACATTTATGAATGAGAGGCTACGAGATGCTTAGGAAACTTCACCTCTTCATTACTCTAAGTCATGTCGTAGAGTTTAACTCTCTATGGTCTTTCACGTAATCCTTACCCGATGGTCTTTAGGATATGGATACTACAAGGGCTAATGCTAGAAGGAATGAGGAAGGCAATGTGGATCAAGAAGCTCCTCCATAAGCTCCGGTTGACTCTATGGCCAAGAATGTGACTAATGCGGAGTTTAGGACGGCTTTTCAAGTGTTGGCTCAAGACGTGATGGCCCAAGCCAATAGAGAGGTTGTAGCCCTCGTGAACCCTAATGTGAATTCAGCGGCTTCAAGAGTGAGGGACTTTACTAGGATGAACCCTCTGGAATTTTATGGCTCCAAAGTAGAGGAAGATCGTCAAGAATTTATCGATGAAGTCTATAAGTTACTTGCTATCATGGGGGTGACTCCGGTAGAAGAGGCAGAGTTAGCCGCTTACCAATTGAAATATGTTGCTCAAGTGTGGTATAATCAATGGAATGAGGGAAGGCCGGTAGGAGCGGGTCCCGTAGAGTGGGGAGTGTTTAAGTCGGCATTTCTTGATAGGTTCTTTCCCCTTGAGTTGAGGGAAGCTAAGATGCAAGAGTTCATTAACCTTTTTCAAGGAAGTATGAGTGTGAGGAAATATTCTCTAAAGTTCACCCAATTATCCAAGTACACTCTAACTATAATAGCGAACCGAAGAGCTAAGATGAGTGACGGGAGTGTCTAATATGGTAGAAAAAGAAGTCGTACCACAATGCTCATCCATGATATGGATATCTCACGTCTTATGGTGCATTTCCAACAAATTGAGGAATCAAAACTCAAGGAAAAGAATAAGGATGCCAAGAGGGCTAGAACCGGAGATGGAAACTTCTTCAACCCAAGGTCTGATGGACAAGGTCGCCATAGGTTTAGACAAAAGTTCCCCGAGCAAGGTTCCTCAAATACCCCTAAGTTCAACCAAGAAGGAGTTTCTAACCCTAAGCCTCTAGGAGATGGTAGTGGGGTTCTATTGCCAGGGTGTAATAAGTATGATAAAATGCATGAGGTTGAATGCCTAGCGGGTTCCAATGTTTTTTTGGTTGTGGCAAGCTAGGCCACAAGATAAGGTAGTGTCCTACCATTGCTAGAAATGAAGTAGATAGTCGTCGTAGATCTCAACCCTACCCTTCATCTGATCCAATTATTTCGGGTGTAGGTGCTCCTAAGCAAAACCGATTCTATGCACTCTAAGCTAGAGGTGATCATGACTATGCACCCGAGGTGGATCTCGTTATGTTGATAGCTTCTTAATTGATGTTTGTGATTTTCTAGATTTTGATGTTATCTTTGTGATGGTTTGGTTGCACTCCTATATGCTTCTCTTTGATTCTAGAACCCATGTAGTCAAATTTCTAGTTCCCGAATGAGCCTATCTGAGAGTGAAAGGGAGGGAAATCTATGCCAAGAGTTTGGGTTGTTTTCTTGTCTTAAAGATGACTTGTAAGGGTTGCATGTACCACATAGATAGGGTGAGGGAGATAGATTCAAGTGTTGACCAACTTCAAATAGTTAGTTTCTTTCTTAAGATTGACCTTAGGTCAGGCTAGCACCAAATGAGGGTGAAAGATGATGATGTCCCTAGAACAAATTTTAGAACCCGACATGGTCATTATGAGTTTGAGATAATATGTTTGGTTAGTAGACTCTACCAAGTGTAGTGTTATGGTTTAAGATGGTTCCGGATCGTCTTATGTGTTAAATGTGAAAGTTAAGCAATGTATTGATCCGACCTTAGTAGAATTGAAAGAGACGGTTCATAGAAAGTACGTTGAGGCTTCCTCCCAATGGGGAGATGGTGTGCCTAGATAGCAAGGTCATTGTGTGTTCCTTATGTTAATGATTTGGGCTTACTTGAAATATCCCACCCATGAAGGGGTGTAGTCAGTTTAGTAAGAAAGGGAAGATTAGCCCCCATTTTGTAGGCCCATGTGAGATCTTTAGACATGTGGTTAGGGTGCTTATGAGTTTGCCTTGCCTAGTGAGGTGGCCTAGGTGCATCCAGTTTTCCATGTCCCTAAGTGAAAAAAGTGTGTTGGAGATGCGACATCCACAGTTCTCTTAGAAGGTTTGGGAGTAGATGAAAGTTTTTCTCATGAGGAAGTTTTGGTTAAGAAGTTAGACCGGCAAGTTAAGAAAGTGAGAACAAAGGGACAGTTCCTCATGGTTAGCTCTTTGTTTGAAGTCATGTGTGTTTATATGTTCCCATGATTTCCCTATATGATGCATGTTCATGAAATCTTGTGCTTAATGCGTTATATGATTGATTTTGTCATGCTGTAGTGCATTAAGTATGAGTTGCATATAGACTTCATAAGATGAATTGATGAGCATGCCTTAGCCCGGAGTTGAAAGATTCCTCCTTGAATGTATGCTTTGAGTATAAATTGCATATAGGCTCCATGAGATTGTGTTGAGCATGTTTTAGCGCAGAGATGGTAGTTCCTCCTTGGACATGATTAGTTAAGAGATTTCAGGTATAATGGGTTGTTAGCTGAAGTTCCTCATTCCTTGTATTGCATAGTAGTATGTTTAGCTTGGAGTTGACGTTTCCTCCTTAGTTGTGTGCATTTAGATGAGTTGCATGCATGATGGGCTGCTAGTCAAGAGTTTTTCCTTTAAGAGATGCCTAAAATATCATTCGAGGATGAATGTCCCCAAGGGGGAGATATTGTAATACCCCGTAATCTAGTAGGCCAACTAGGGCTAAGTATAAGGGTGACAAGCCAAGGCAAGAGCAAGGGCCAAGGCTGCCCCAAGCTTCCCCAAGCACTACTCCACATTCACGACCACCACCACAGCCAGTGGTGAGGACCACGGCTCGTGGTGTGGCCCATGGTGGCTAAGGCAGTAGCTACCCTTGAGGCTGCGCAAGATGGCTCACTTTCACGAGCCACTTCACGGCCAGTGGTAAATACCACGACTCGTGGGAAGGCTCGTGAAGATGCCTTTAACTTTTGGAGGCCAAGACTTGGTGGCCTAGCCATTGGACCAAGGACCATGTGCAGAACCCTCGACCAATGGTGACCACAGCTCGTGGAACCTGCTGTGAAGCCTGGCACTAGGCTGCCCAAGTGAGAGCATTTTAGGAAATTTCAAATCAAGTTAGATTTAAGTGAGGTCATTTTTCCTAGACTTAGTACACCTATATAAGCTATTTTAACCCTTTAAACTCACCAATTAAGTCATTATTTCCAAAACCCCAAAAGAATCCCGAAGTTCATGCTCTCAAATATTCTCTCTCTAGAAGAAGAAGAAGAAGAAGAAGAAGAGGGTTCAAGCTAGGTCAAGACTCCAATCCTCAAGCTTTTGTGGGCTTTGTGATCAAGGTATGATAGCTTTTCATCCATTGACTCCTTTCATCCATGAAGTTCCCTAGTTTTCCCTAATTGTGAAGATGAAATCCCCAATTCTAGTTAGGGTTTCTTCCAATATTGTGGGTATTGATGAATGTTGATCCAATTGAGTGGATAATGATTTTTTATGATTGAATTAGTAGTAAATCATGTTTTTAGAAGGAAATTACATGTTTCCATGCCTAACCCATGTCTAGAAAGATGAAATCGAGGTAAGTGGGTTTTGTGCCTTGAAAGGGGAAATTGAGGATTTAGAGATAATATTCTAGGATAGGATTGATTATATGAATTGTAGATTGCTTGAGATTAGGGCATATAGATATGAATTGAATGAGATTAAAGTATACATGTTGAATCATTATTAGTAATGCTTGAGATTAAGCCAATATGATGAGATATGATTAGAATTGCTAAAGAATGAAGCATGTGGTTAGAATGTCTTGAGATCTAGGCATATGTGATGATTGTAAGAAGTATTGCTTTGAGAGTAAAACTTGTAGTTATGAATGTTGATTACTAGGGCTTGATAGTAAAGTTACTATGATGAATTATGAATGTTAAGGCTTTGAGAGTGAAGCTTCTATGATAATGGTAGACTACTAGATAGAATTATTATGGAAGGAATTTACTCACATAATATACCTTATGAATGTTTGAATGCATGAGGTGATATAATTCACATGAATTGTAATGAAATCCATGTCTAATGCTTGAGTTCTATATGTTTTGATTGAAAGTATATTCTCATAAACACATAATGAACATGATGTGAAAGGTTTTCTCACATATAATGATTGTAGGTTGAAAGGCCTGCTCACCTAATGAATCTAATTCCAAGGATTATGAGATGAGAGTAGGCTCGAGGTGATTCCCCAAGACCTTCATATAAGAGGGATGTGAGGTGATTTTCTATATTCCTAAGTTAATAAACATGAGGCGATTACCCATGTCATGATATGAGAAGTGTGAGGTGACTACCCTTTATATATATAACTTCTAAAAGCAAGGCAAGAGGTGAATACCCATTAGCCTTTATACCAAGGGCATGGATGCAAATACCTATGTCATATCATGTTGGACATGGACAGTGGCGGATCCAGGATTTAAAGGTTGTGGGTGCTCACTTCCTTTAACATAAACCTGTTAGCAATCACATAGTGTAAACGTATACTAACTCAAACTCTTTAATAAAAAAGTAAAAAAATAAAACAACTATTAATATTATCATCATAAAAAACAACCTCTAATTATAAGTCACAATGACCTACTAGTAATATTATCATTACAAAAAGAGACTTCTAGTCTTAAAAGTCATAATTGTGCTCGATGACTTTTCATATGTTGAAAACGATAAATAATTGCATCATTGCTTACATTTGCGAATATCTTACGCTCTACATAGCAAACTAAACAACCATTCAAAAATTCATCACCAATACTATTACGAAGTTCATTTTTAATGTACTTCATGGATGAGACAGTTCGTTCCACAGAAGTAGTAACAACGGAAAGAATGAGAGTCAACTTGATAAGCAAATAAACAAGTGGCCAAGTTTGATGCAGATCTGACTTGACAATACTTTAGCAAGATCACTAATTCCTTTCAAGTTGAAGAACCTCTTGTCAAAACCACAAGCATAAACTATAAAGCTATCAAGCTGAAAACTGAGATCCCGAAGCTTGTTGCTGTCAAACTCATTCATATAATATTCAGTCAACCTCATTATCTTGTCCTTATCAAAACTACCAAATGAATTAACTGGATTCAAACTAGCCATACCGTGAAGTAAGTCAGTACTCACAACATCAAAACGATTATTAAGCTCTTGAAAATGCAAATCAATAACAACATAAAATATTTCAACACGCAAATGATGAGAATATGTAACATCAAGAGCTTTACGCTTTGACTTCCCATGAAAGTAGCTAACATCGATCTTCGGAACGACTATATCATGTTTATCATAAAAAGAAGAGGCATCATCCATTAATGATTCGAATTCATTATCCCTCATATTTTGTAATCTTTGCTTTGTAAGAGCAAGAAATCCCATAGCATTGACAATATCTTGATCCATCATTTGCAATGAGGAGCTCAATTCATTTGTCATCATATGAACTTTCCACATCAGGTGTAGCATAAAGGAAAAATCAAATTTCTTAATCGTATCCACAAGAGTTTTAGCAACAAGTCTCAAAAAACTGTCATCGTTGTTTTGTTAAAATAAAAAATCTCAAAAAAGCGGGTAGTGAAAAAGGTTTTAAAGCATAGAAAAAGTTAGAAATAAAAAAGAAAGAAAAAGTTAGTCAGCCTAAACTAATTAAGAATAGAAAAAGTCAAAACAGTTACAAAATTCAGAGTAAAAGAAGCCCTTAATTAAAAAAAGGAAAAAGTAAAAAAAGGGTGCAAAATTCGCTGGAAAAAGTAAAAAAAAAAAGGATGGGGTTGACAGGATTTGAACCCTCACTTGCATCGCTTTGCACGCCTTATATTTCAAACGTAAACCAGCACACCCACGACTGCTCTTGTTCTATTGGTGCTTATTTATATTTAATAACGTATTTGTCATATTTTCTATATATATATACAAAAATTTTGTCGGAGTCAATGGGTGCTCGAGCACCCAAAACCGACTACGTGGGTCCGTCCCTGGACATGGAGGGCGAATACCTATGATCTCCTAAAATGGACATGGAGGCAAATACCTATGATTCTTATAAAATGATGTGGATTCAAATACCTATATCATACCATATTAGGACATGGAGGCGAGAACCTATGATTCCTTAAAATGAACATGGAGGTGATTGCCTATGATTCCTTAATAAGGCAAGAGATGAATCCCATTAGCCTTCATACTGGGCATAGAGGTGAATCCCTTTTTTCTTGAAAAGTAAAGCAAGAATAATTTGAACTATGTTAGTAAAAGAATGAATTGTTTGAGTTGTAGCTTGAAAGGCCTTCCATGAAATGTATGACTAGAGGTGATTCCCCTTATCTATGAGAATTAAGCTAAGGATGAGCACAAAAGATGATGAACTTGAAAGATGGCCCAAGGTGGTCTACTTTGATGAGGGAGATATTATGGGTGTTTACCCATTCCTTGATTAAATAAGCTTTGAGGTTACCTAGGAAGTGTTCCTCTTATATTATGATGATCTAAGTATTGCCTATGCTTATGACTATGTTGTTATCTCTTATGTTTATGGATTATTTCTTATGTTGACTACTAATGCTTATGTTATGCTCATGTTGATGATTTATGCTAGCTATCATATGAGAGCAGTTATTGAGGCATTACAGGATTTTTCCATGTGGCAGTTGTGGTGGAAGTGAATGATAGTTCCCATAGGTCTGCTTTAATGATGCTCCAGGACTCTTAGAAAAAGGCCATAGTGAATCTGTCGGACCCTGTGCCTTATCAGAAGCTCATGATTTTGTGTTGCCAAAATTTCTGCCTCTTCCAAAAGGTATCTCCAGACCCTCACTCTATTCTTCTAATTGCCATATACAAATGATAGCATCTTCATCTAAAAAAGAGAAGCGAATATGGAAAATTTTCCATATCAGAATGATCAACATTCAACATTTCACTGTTCAAAGGCAACATCTAGTAGATTGGGTGGGTACCTTTAAAGGCAACATATTTGGTCCAACTAATGGAGCAAAGATCTATAGAATTCATCTTCCTGATCATGAATTTTCATACAGTGTTGTAGTGGAATCCCATAAACTAATTATATTAGGGGGCCTTTTTGTCCGTTGAATTTATACAATATCGATATAGTCTAAGAAACTAATGCAAATAAAATCATCTTAAGCTTAGCATTATACATTTCTTTTCATGTTAATTGGCCATTTTTTATGAGTTTAGTTACAAAACTCATCATTTCATCTTCTAGGCAAATATGTCATATGATTTGAATTCGTTGATGAATAAATTTAAAATATTTAAAGACCCCGGTTTGATTCTGGTATGGTCGATAATAATTTTGTTCTAGCATAGAATTTTCAAAATAAGCTTTCCAATAGAATATTGCAAAACTTTGACACCATTATTGCAAATTGACCAGGCCAAGATCATATATGATAAGAAAAACACTCCCTTAATCGTTGTAGTAGACCTATAATCGTCTGCAAACGTAGGGTTTACAAGGTACAACTTTTTAGCTCTTTCCAATAAAAAATCCTCTAATGTTTTCATCTTATCATTCTTTTCAGCATGACTTCTTCGCTACATACTTGTTCTTTTTATGCTTATTTGAGCCGACGGTCTATCAACAACAACCTCTCTACCTTCACAAGGTAAGGATAATGTTATGTACACGCCACACTTCCCAAACTCCACTTATGGGATTAAATTGATATGTTGCATGTTGATGCTCCTTTACTTAGTATCTGAGAGACCTTCCATTGCCAAAATGAAAAGGAAAGGGGGGGGGGGAGGGGATCCCCTTGCCTTAAGGCCTTACTCGGGGAGAAGAAACCTACAGGGTTTCTATTAACCAACACCGAGTTTTTCACAGTTAAAATACAAAATTTTGTTCACCTTATCTAACTAGCTCCAAATCCCATTTGTCTTAGGGTTTTAATGAGGAAGGGTCAATTCAATTGGTCAAAAGAATTTTCAATGTCTAATTTGCACAGAAGACCTAATTTACCCACTTTTGATTCACCAATCTAGTACCTCATTAACAATCAAGGATGCATCTGTGATTTGTTGTTCTTAAGGAAAAGACTTTGTTGCTACGGTATCAGTTTCGCAGTAACTCCCTTCAGCCTCTCTGCTAGTAATTTGGCCACAATCTTGTACACACTTCCTATCAGACTAATAGGTCTATATTCCCTAATCGATTATCGATATTACCCTCATAAGTTTAGGATGAGAGCAGTTACTGAGTCATTACAGGATCTTTCCATGTGGCAGTTGTGGTGGAAGTGATTGATAGTTCCCATAGGTCTGCTTTAATGATGCTCCAGGACTCTTAGAAAAAGGCCATAGTGAATCTGTCGGACCCTGTGCCTTATCAGAAGCACATGATTTTGTGTTGCCAAAATTTTTGCCTCTTCTAATAGGTATCTCCAGACCCTCACTCTCTTCTTCCAGTTGGCATATACTGACAACATCTTCATCTAAAAAAAAAGAAGTGAATATGGAAAAATTTTCATATCAGAATGATCAACATTCAACATTTCACTGTTCAAAGGCAATATCTAGTAGATTGGGTGGGTACCTTTAAAGACAACATATTTGGTCCAACTATTATTAGGGGGCCTTTTTGTCCATTGAATTTATACAATATCGATATAGTCTAAGAAACTAATGCAAATAAAATCATCTTAAGCTTATCTAAGTTTTGAATTCTTTCTTTTCATGTTAATTGGCAATATTTTGTGAGTTTAGTTACAAAACCCATCATTTCATCTTCTAGGCAAATATGTCATATGATTTGAATTCGTTGATGAGTAAATTTAAAATATTTAAAGACCCTAGTTTAATTCTGGTATGGTCGATAATAATTTTGTTCTAGCATAGAATTTTCAAAATAAGCTTTCCAATAGAATGTTGCAAAACTTTGACACCATTATTGCAGAATGACCAGGCCAAGACCATATATATATGATAAGAAAAGCACTCCCTTGATCAATCTCGGGGAAGCTGATGAAAAATCTTGGCAAAAGATTGGAATTAAGTGATTATTTTGATCGTTGTAGTAGATCTATAATCGTCTACAAACGTAGGTTTAGAAGGTACAACCTATTTTTAGCTCTTTCCAATAAAAAATCTTCTAATGTTTTTATCTTATCATTTTTTTTAGCATGACTTTTTCGCTAAATACTTGTTCTTTTTATGCTTATTTGAGCCGACGGTCTATCAGAGATAACATCTCTACCTTCACAAAGTAAGGGTAAGGTTGTGTACACACCACCCTCTCCAAACTCCACTTATGGGATTACATTGATATGTTGTTGTTGCTGCTCCTTTTTTTGGTATATCTCTTGTATACTACCAAGATGGCCTTTGTTATATATTATCAATGAAATATTTTACTTCATCAATTAAGAAAAGAAATATTGAGAGTAAATAAACGGGAATCAATACTAAAAAGAAGAGAATGAAGAAGCTAACAAAGATTAACGCACAACAAATAATTTCAATGGGTGATATCAACAAGAATTAATTTAGTATGTCTCTAAAAGATTAAAAACCCAGAATATAAAATTGAAGAAGAGCAACAAATGGTGAAAATTTCATACCAAAATGACAGGGGTGCTTAAAAAGTTAAAACAGTTATAAACCACAAATTTTGGTCAATTTATCCATTAAAAGTTCATAAATATTGCTTACATCTAATATGCATGTTACACAAACTTTTGATGTTTTTGTTTCACATGACAACTAGATTGTTTACCAGTTTGTAATTCAGAATGTATTTTAAGGTTTGAAAATGAAAAACATATATAAATATCATCGTTATAAATTACGTTTTAAATATAATTTGAGAGGCTCAAAGTAAAAATTCAAGGAGAAAAATATCATATTGAGCTGCAAAAAGGATAGCATAAGAACCATAGAAGAAGGAAGAATCCAACTTCCGTTTATAAATTTTAAAAATAAATTGATGAAAAAGGATGGAAAGTGTACATACTCTAGGTCACTAGTGATGCTTTCTTTAAAAAAACAAATGACATGCACTAAACAAACTGTAATTTGCACACCACCATTTTCAAGGTGTTGCAAATTTTTTTATTACTGAAAAGGAAATAAAAAAAAAAATAGCAAAATGATATAAATTATTGTTGGAAATTTGTGGAAAATGGCAAGTGCAAATGCTTTTAGAATAGTTGTGAATGGCTTCATTGAATTATTTAGGCAGAAAGAACTCATTCATCAAAATATCGATCATACATGCATGTAAAAGCACCATAATGACCTACCATTATACACTACTAAAAACGATATAAATTGTAATATAACACTACTCTTATATTATTAGGTAATTTTATATCATTAAATGTCTCATAGTAATTCTTAAGTAATTATGTTTTTACGATGAATACATCGTGTGTTAATTT